GATGAAGAGCTTGTGCAATGAACCTCTCTGTGAGGACATGTTGAAAGTGACGAGCTTTGTGACCTCAAGAACGAGATCTCACAGCGCACCCAACTGCGTGATGTTATTATAAACATAGATCCGATGTTTCTACGGCTCTTAATCGCCATTATCCCCTTCAACACGCAAGGCAGCATTGGTTACAGAGTGTGGCTATCTTTAGGGTGCTCGTTTTCTTCTGCTCGGGCACTGCACTTAAGAGGTTAAGAAAGAGTTGAAAACTTACACATTTTCCTTGGTCCTACATAAAACAGATGTAAGTGAAAGCCACAGTGCCTGGGCTGGAAAGACAGTTTGATTGATTGATTAATTGGTTGACTGATTTCATAGCAAAAGCAGCTGTGCAGCAGAGATGATTTATAAGTGATACTTGCACTATATTGTTCACATTCCTGAACTTCAACATGACTTCAGAAATCTGTAACAAGTTCAATTTTTAATTGTATAATCACGACATGCAAATGTAAAAAAAATAGTATTTTGGCTACATTAAGTGTTCTGATACACCCCCAAAATAATTTTTAAAGTAGAAGATACATTTTATACCATTTTCTTGCCTTTTGACTGAGATTTCTGCTCCATTAATCACAGTTTGAATGTGCTGAATTTGCAGAGAAAGAAAAGCAGCTTGGATTCCAAAAATAAGCAAAATGTAGAACAATAAATTTTGCATTTTCTTTTCCACAGTTCAGTAGTTTCTGCCCTTTTAAAAGTATTTTTGGATTCCCCAAGAAGATTACAACGTAAGCCATGATGACTGTTTCCTTGAAAAATTAATAATCATTCAGAATATACCTGATATGGATGAAATCCCCCAAACTCCCAAGTCACGCTGGCAGAAATGCAGAAGTTGATGTTTTTAAATCTGTCCTAAAACAAATCCAACATCTGACTCAAGTGACCAAGCTGAAATATTCTGGAAACTACACTTTTAAAATAAATACTTATCTATTCAATTTCTGCCTTTCTACAAAATGTGCATCTTATTTCCGAACTGTCTCACCAGGGTCTCCAGATCTTGATGCAAAGCCTCCGGGTCACTGCTGGAGGTATTCCTGCTGCTCGCTGAGGCAATCAGTCAGCGAGTAAACCACACAATTATCACAGGCATCCACATCAACTCTGAAGCTCGTAATATCCACCGCAACAGGGTGAGGTGGGGGCAGCTTGTTCTTCTGTAAAAACCTTCACTGAAAGCTCTCTCTCAGAGACTTCTGCACCACACTGGCCTCTCCTTTGAGAAGTGGCCAAGATCTCTGAACGAGCCGACTGGCCTCCTCTATTCTACAACCATTCTTATTACATGGGTTTCTCATTGCCTTAATTAGCGGCCGTTGTTTACAATATGAAGAACTGTTATGTAAGAAAGCGCTACTCAAAGTACATCACACAGAGATCAACAGACAGTACCAGCTGACAGACAAAAACAAAGGACCAGAACCTGAAAATGGCAGAGCTCGTTTGTCACAGTCCCGGCAAGAAAACAGCACTTGCCATAGGACTGCACCTGTTGTCTGCAAGCTTAGTTATCATTTAAAAGATGTGGAAGTGTACTGAAAACAGATACAGGTGTTGAGAAGGCCAGTGGTTCACTTAACGGGGTAAAAACATGCCTTCTCTTTTCTGTTACACAGGAGCTGGGCAAGACATCTGCGCCATGGGAAGGCACAGGTCTGATTGGGTTATACACAAACAGCGGATACAGAGGGTCCCCCTTACAAGCTGCCTCGATATTAATCATTTCGTATATAGGTCACCCGTAATTAAGGAAACTAAATTTATACATTCCACAGATCTGCACTTACGTTGTTTTGCAAGGCACCAAAATCCAGCAAAGTAGGTAGGCTGTGGTTTTTTTTGTTCCAGAAATGAAAGAAAGAGTGTGAAGAACAATCTAACACTAAAAATTCTGCTTTTTGGAGACAGTGATGCTTCCCATGACTATGATGATGAATTGTTACGCCCAGACATTCAAGCTGAGTTCTCCTTTGAGGCAGTGAAGTGCATTTAATAGTGAGACCACAGTCTGAAAGGACCTGGAGACACTGCTTCTATTTATTGTTTTGTCATGGGTTATACGCACATTATACTGTATGTATATACACGTGCCTGAATAGGAAACCAATTACAATATTCCCTCTTTTCTTGTAGGGCGGTTCAGTGGCTCTGTGGCTCAGGATCTGCGCCTGTGGCTGGAAGGTTGCCGGTTCATATCCTGTGGCCGGTGGAGGAATCCTACTCCGTTGGGCCCCTGAGCAAGGCCCTTCACCCCAGCTGCTCCAGGGGAGGCGTATAAATGGCTCTAAATGGAGCCTCTTGATTGGCCTCTCTGTCTGTCCCCTGCTCCCGCCTCTCGCTCCTCCTCTCTCCCAGCTTTTGTTCTTCCGCTACTTTACCTTTGCTTACTGCCCTGTCTCTCTCACACCTGAAGAAGGCTCCACGGCCGAAACGTTGTGTTTTCTTTCTTCTTTTTTTCAGCATGGAATAAACCTATTACTTGTTCCTTTTAAACCTATGAATTGTTTTTAATAGTTTATTTTACTTTGTATGTATAGATATACACCCCATAGGTCACTGTAACCAAAGACTTTTCAAAATTATTTTTCCCCAACGTCTTGTTCTTTATATAACATGATCCTTACATCCTAACACGATCCCAACACTGCATTTAAAAACCACACCAAACGTGCTAGAGAGATAACGTGGCTTGTTCATTGCACACTTGTTAATTGTGCCCACCTTAAAAGCCTCTTCTGGGTGCCAGCAGACACTCATCCCGGGTGAGCGAAGCAGAAACGAGGCACTCTGAGATCCGTCTAACTCCCAGACCCTAGGGAGCAAGCAAATGTGAAAAGGGTAAGACACACATGAAAAAACACATCTGCACACAATACAGAAAAACTATCACTTGGCATAACTAATACGGTCAGGACCACCCTAATACGTAATACGTAACTAATACGGTCAGGACCACCCAGCTGAAGCAAACACGTTCAATAAAAAATGTTCTGTAGTTTAGAACAAATAAAATATCGAACAGTTTCAATGGACACATGCCAAGGCTGCCCTCTAATCAATCAGAGAGCTGAACCTGGTGTCTCACCGTTTACAAGAATAACAACAATTAATAATAATAAAGAACTTTACAGGTCATGGGGATCCCCTCCACCACCACCAGTGTGCAGCCCCACCTGGGTGATGTGACAGCAGTCAAAGTGCACCAGTACACTCCCCACACACCAGCTCTCAGTGGGGAGGAGAGCAGAGTGCACCAGTACACTCCCCACACACCAGCTCTCAGTGGGGAGGAGAGCAGAGTGCACCAGTACACTCCCCACACACCAGCTCTCAGTGGGGAGGAGAGCAGGGTGCACCAGTACACTCCCCACACACCAGCTCTCAGTGGGGAGGAGAACAGAGAGATGAAGCCAGTTCAGAGATGGGGATTATTAGGAGGCCATGATTAGGAATGAAAGGCCAGGGGGGACTTTAGCCAGGACACCGGGGTTACACCCCTACTCCCTGCCTTGGGATTTTTAATGACCAAGGAGAGTCATTTTTCACCGTATAGTGTCCCCGTCACTATACTGGGGCATTAGGACCCACAGAGACCGCAGGGTGAGCGCCCCCTGCTGGCCCCACTCACACCTCTTCCAGCTGCAACCTTTCCCAGGAGTCTCCCATCCAGGCTCACACCTGCTGAGCTTCAGTGGGCTGCCAGTTGAGAGTTGCAGGGTGCTATAGCTGTTTTACTGGGTAAGAGCGCTGTGCAGAGAAATGAACTGAATCTCCAGGCCATGGGTGAGGCAAGAAACAGTGCACTCCTGAAGACTGAAGTCTGCCATGGCTCCCTAAATTGCAGACATCTAGCAAATACCCAGCGGCTTGACCACTACACCCACACACACCTGCACCATGAGCACGTTGCGCGCCCCTCAACAAGTCCAGAATCTTACAGTACACGGGTGCCACTGTAAAAATGAACTTAACAATGATAAATAATCAATAAAACAAACAGAGATGATGGATAGAGAAAACACTATGTGATCCCAGGCCGTGGTTGGCACAAGCAGAATGTACACAGAAAGGTCCAGTAAGTGTCTCCTCACCTCTGAGCTCCCTCTGTCAGCCAACGGAGGGAGAAAGGGAAGGTAGCTGATGGTGAAGGAAATTCACATCCCTTGGCTTTGACTTGACACTAGGTCCCACCCATCTTACCCTCACTATGCGCTGCCAACAGTAACACTCCTTGCAGACTCCTTGCAGTCAAGACTGCCTAGCAAAATAATGCCCAATGTGTTCATTTTCTAGCCCGCTGCAATTCCATGAAAGAAGAAGGACAGACACAATCTGCAGTGTCAGGTGTATCAAAACAAGATTTAAAATGGAGCTGCCAGAAATCCATCGAAACTCTAGGCCTGTACTGCAGTCTGCATGTGAGAGAAAGCTCCAAAAAAAAGAGTATTAAAAAACACCCAACAATGCCGGAAAAAAAGCATATCAGCCTTTTTTTTCTTTTGTTTCCTGAGAGAACCTTCTCGTAACATTTTCAAACAATAAAAAAGAGAAATAAAACAAGTTTCCTATGAAGCCATGCCTTGGCAGAGAGGAGGATTCTTTGAAGTGACAAATGTGGCACCATTCTTATCTACTGGGTCCAAGAAAATATCACTTGCTTGACTGAGGAACACACAGCAAGTCACAAACCACAAACAGAGCATTAACCGAGGAACCTTGGAAATGCCTTCACAGCTTAGTCACCCTTGCACCATGTATGGGTCTCATTAACTCAACATTTTACTAGCTTTTCTCGACTTGAAAATCCATGTGTGCTTCTGTGATTGGACATGGAAAGCTGAGTGTCATGCCTCTAGAGCTTTGACAAGAACTTTGCCCTTTGCCAGGGCCTCCCTTCTGATGGCCTTCCAGGGTCTACAGTGCCTTAAGTTCAAAGAATCATTCTAAACGGAATTAAAGTTCCAGAAGAAACCAATGTGCAACTTTTGCCCTATATGTTTGAATGAACATGAACGGAAGCACACCTGTCATTTACCCATTACAGCAGAACTGTTCTGCTTTAACAGAAACTGAGACAACGTAAAGATCTTCATCCTGAAAGCTGTGAGGGAACGTACAACGGGCCACATTCAGCACAAATGCACACAGGCACATTCACAAAACAGAACCACAGCGTTAGTGAATCGCTGCAAATGCACAAGTATGCCACAGTGCTGGACCTTTTTAACACGTTAGTTGGGAATTGTGGGTGTGTTTCTGGCCACACATAATCATACTGCGAATACATACTAAGAAAATGGCCAAGCTGGGTGCAAAAAATAAAAGTGAAATTTCATAGGGGCCAGATAACTAGATGTTTTCACATAGTCCTCTAATTTTCGGTGGTGTTCATACAGGCTCCCCACATTTACCTTGCCCCCAGCGAGAAAAGAACAAAAGACATTGTATAACAGGAAGTTTTACGGATTTGTTCATGTACCCTGCTGAAAAAAAATCAAAAGATGTCATACTTAATCTTAATAGCAACGCGCAGACCACGGCCATAAATAATTAAAGCCCAGAAACACAAAGGTCACGTTTACTTGCATCCCCGTGGTCAGTTTTTTAGTAAACGCCCCTCTGATATGGATCACACTGACAAGACACCGACTGTAGTGTGCCACGGGGTTCTGGCACTTCTGAGGGGGGATATTTTTCCATTGCTCCAGAGAGAGCCGCTCCAGGTCCTTTAGACCACTTGGTTTCAATTTGTGAACTGCTTTTGCAATTTCCAACCACAAATGCTGGACTGGCTCGAGGTCTGGAGAGGGAAAGGCCCAGTCGAGAACATTTATTTTGTGTGCAGTTAACCACTTCTTTGTCAAATGGGCGTTTGCCTCCCTCTCGCGCTGGAATGGCCATTCGTCCCACCAGGCCAGAGCTCCCTGGCAGAGGAAGCTACAGTAGGTGTCTGGCTAAACCGCGCAGGAAAGCACTGGACTTCACGGCTGACCCTGTCTTTACAAGGGGCGCCAGGAGGCCGAGACGCAAAGCTGCCCCGAAACACGATCAGACCTCCTTTTCGTATTTCACAGTGGTTATGAGCGTTTTCTCAACACGAGCCTTAGCAAACATAGCTCGGATAAGCGTGCTCAAAAGGCTCCATTTTCATTTCGTCTGATCGTTAAAACAAGGTCCCAATTGACGTTCAGGCACTTTCTTTTTTTTATTTAAAGACAATTATGATTGTGCTCCTTGCAGTATTATTCTAATTGAGACATACTCCTATCCATAACATTCTATAATTATAATTATAATATAATTCTATAACATATTTTGTTCC